CTCCTATTATCTTCAGTGAGACTGTAACTGGATAAGTTTTCTTTCTTTTGTTATATATATTATTTTTCAGGGGTCTGTCCTATGTTTTGTCCAAGATCTCATTCTGTAGCGAGTGGTGCCTGTCCAGGTATACTTCAGTCACTTAAAATTGTACTAAATCCCACACTGTTAGGCCTTGTTGACTTCACCTTCATAACTTCCATGGCCACAAAATGCACACTGTTCATTACAATAACATAAACTAGAGATGAGGTTTTCCACAAGATTGCTCGTAGGTTATTCCTCATGATATCTTTGCTTCATAATTATGCCTGTTACAGACCGTACTACCCCATGAACTTCATGGGTAAAGCAGAAGGTGATTGCTGCCCATCCTTGTCATTCCTTGGATTGAATAAATTGGGTTTGGTCTGCTTTTCGAAATAGGTTTTTGTGGTTACGCATTGTTCCTCTGGACTCTTCACCACATTTTTCTCCCCATTTCTTCCTGTGTAGAAAAAAAAAATCTTACCACTTTCCAGTTCCAAGCCACTTTGGTGGTAGACCATGGAGGTATCCTCCTGAATGAGAGATATGCAGTATAAACAATGACAAATACATTCAGTTGAGAGTAGGGCAGTGGTGTTCTGCTGATGTAATTGATGGTAATCTTCCAAAAAGATGTTCCATCTCTACTTGGGCTTCTCAAAGGGGATGTTGTAGCTTTGGAGTGAGCCATCATAATGATTGAGATCCCTCATCCTACCTCTGCATGGAAGTCGGTTCTAGGCAGCAGAGTTTTGGATTTAAGCTGAACCAATCAACATGGTGTGCTCACGCATGTGGTATGTTGGCATAGATGCAGTCCCCCCCCCTTTGATTAAGATCTCTCTTTCTATCCTACCCCCACATGGACATCAGTTCCCAGCAGTTGAATTTTGGATTTAGAGCTAGTATTGAGAGCTTTGTTAGAATGTACATATAAGACAGCGAGCTAACTATCATTAGATCAGGACTGATGAGAATGTTAAGCAAAGTAGTGCCTCTCCTTTCTACATACAGTGTCTGTCTGTTGCATGTTATTATTCTATGTTATTTGTTGCATTATTTTATTAAATAGAAATTATTTAGTGCACTACTACCATTAGTATAGTAAAGTAGGGTTAAGTTTCATCGACAGTAGACAGCAAAAAGAAAGACTCAGGTAAGTGCTTATTTCTAATTTTTTAGGGGTGTATTGTTTATTTATTATAAAAGTAACTAAACAACTGTTATGAAAAGCCCACCCAAGCCCCCAGCTGTTCCACCAACCAAAAAGATGCTTGGCACCCCAACATTTCAAGCATTCCTGTAGTTGGCAGACAGCAGGGTGACTGACAGGTGGACCCCTGTGAAACTAATGTGAAGGCAATACATGAAGAACATTGTCATACAAGCAATGATCCAATTGATCTGAGGTTATTTTTAGCCAGCTACCAGCACTTAATCTAACAAATTATTATTATACTATTTAACTAGTAAGAACAACCCCTGTTTTTTGTTTCACCACCATTTAATTTTAAATCATTTTCCATTTTGTGAATCGTTAAGTGTAATTTGGCATGGAGATGAGGTGAGCTAGCTAACTAATATCAACCTAGCTAAGCTCTCTAGCTCATTAGCAAGAGGACATTAACCATGTCTTTTGGCAGCTCCTGAAACCTGGGCAAATGTCAGGGAAAAAAACAAAACCCCAAAATTTAGTTCAGAGGCTACAAGGCTGAAATATGAAGCTAGCCGTTAAAGAAAATTTGTTGGCAGCTGGAAAGAAGAGTTTCCTGGGGTCACTTGTGTCACCCCCTGTTCAAAAAATTTGGACAAGTGACTGTGCCCTTTGAACAAGTAAGAAATGCTGTTCTCTAGCCCGAAGAACAAGTACCCCAGTAAGCTTAATATCAACTCCTGCATTAGTATAAAAAGTAGGGTTAAGTGTTATCGACAGTCAACAGCAAAATAAAGTAGGTTTTGTTTTTCATGTGTATTCTTTATTTATTATTATAAAAGTAACTAAAATGTAAAAATAGGAATCTCTATAGGTTAATTAAAGTTAGATTAGGTAAAATAAATAATAATATAAAAAAAATTTTTTCATGAGGTATGCATGTGAGCAGCTCAGAGTAGCTAGTGGGTAATGTAACTCCATAGCGAAACATGAGCTGCATGTTCCCCAAGTGAATAAAAGTTATAATGGCACAAATAGTAGTTAGACATGGTTCAAAAGGCAATAAAACAATAAAATTTAATATATATATATAGATTTATACTGTTATGAGTTTAAAGCAACTTACGGCAAACAAATATAGTTTCATGTTACTATTTGAAGTTATTCTAGAAAGTAAAAAGGATAATTTAGATTTCCTTAGATTTATTTTTTGGTGGTTATGAGGTTGGTCAAATTGACCAACCTTGTATATAGAGTTAGCGTAAACAAAATAACAGATGAAATATAAAGTTTTGCTGAAAATAATATTTGAAATGTATTTAGGAGATTCTAGAGATAAGGTAAATGACATTTGAGATTTTTGAGATGAATAAAAGTATTTTTAATCTTAATGTGAAAATAATTTTGTACTCAGACTGGTCAAATAAAAAGACTTGATATGTAAAAATACTTCATTGAAAAACTGATTTTTTGTATACAAATGAGTTATAATGTTTGATAAAAGTCTGCCAAATTTTGTTAAGATAAACATACTGTATTAAAAGTTGTAGTATTAAACCTATATAGAAGTAAAAATAGTCCTTGTGACCGAGCCCTTTATTGAGAGTTTGTAACTTGCTCAATCTCAATGCTAAATGTGTAGTGCATGTACTTAATGTACCTAGTCTAGTAGGCTAGGCTGCAGATGCCGAATGGATGCTTTCGAAACGTAATGAAAATACTACTATAAAGTGTATGCATATGCAATATGCGCATGACAAAGTGTGAAAATACTTTATGTACTGTTTGGCAGGAATTTCCAAGAAATGAACATCAGCTTTGGCTTTGGTATATCAAACTGAAATGTGACAGCACTTTCACTGTGTTGTTGAAGGCTTCAAAGACAACATACAAGAGAAAGGAATGATTTGCACTTTATGCTAAGCAAAATCGAAAGTTATTCGCAACTGGGGTTGTTTTCACTTGCAAATTGTGATGCAAACCTGGTTATTTAGTCCCCTGAAGTGACAACCCATCATATTCTAAAGCAGTTGTACACAGTTTTTTTTTATGGTTTAATAAAGATTGTCTATTTTGTATCTACTCTTGTTACTTCATTTTACATCAACTCAGTTAGTAAGAGATTTACTTTTATAATCATCATCTTGAGTGAATCTTCTTTTATTTAGGAGACATATCCAATATAGCTCTAAAGTTAATTTGATTTCACCTGGATATAACCATATTTATTGATTAATCTGAAAATACTAGAATTGATCAGAATTTATAATTAAAAAATTATAAAGGCAATGTTTTGATTACTTGGATTAATTTATTTTTGTGATATTTATTAATTTAATGGTAATTTTGATTAATTGATTATTTTATGTGACACTGATTGATGTAATTGATACTGATATGTTATTGATTAAGCAAGTTAATTATCCAACTCTATTAATTATATGATTCTTATTACTTATTTGTTTTTAACCAACAGACATAGGCCTGGCATTGCCAGGTGGTTAGGGTGCTCGACTCGCAATCTGAGGGTCGTGGGTTCGAATCCCCGTCCCACTAGACGTGCTCGCCCTTTCAGTCGTGGGGGTGGTATAATGTGACGGTCAATCCCACTATTCGTTGGTAAAAAAGTAGCCTAAGAGTTGGCGGTGAGTGGTGATGACTAGCTGCCTTCCCTCTAGTCTTACACTGCTAAATTAGGGATGGCTAGTGCAGATAGCCCTTGTGTAGCTTTGCGCAAAATTCAAGAACAAACAAACCAACACACAATTAAACAAACATAATACTTTCAACTGCAGTAAAGACATATCACAGGTGGGATTCCCCTTTTAGCTTTAAGTTTCAAATGGAGTAACGTGGAATGTTGATTTTCACAATTTATTTTATAATTACATTCTTTTACAAGAAATGCATAAACATAGGTGCTACTAGGCACTGGCACCTGAGCTCCAGTTCTGTTTGCCCTAAATCCCTAGTTGGTGTCTTAAAACATTAAAAAGAAAACTATGATCAATATCATACTGAAATGCCAAAAATTCCTGTACTTATAGGCCTGAGCCCTGAATCTTTTATGCATCTAGCAATGCCTCTCGGCATAAAACTTAGAATTCCTTATATTATTTTCAACTGATTTTTCTACACAGTTAGTAAGATTGTTGGTGTAGGTGTGAAGTTATCTATGATTTTGGGTCATGCAGTTATCATTTTAGTATAGATTTTTCTTTCTTAAAGTAGCTACATATGTTAGCCAGTCAGGAACTTGAGAATAGATGTTGTGCAAGAATTCATTATTTGTACATTGTTGAAACATTTTCCATCTTATATTGTGAGATGAGGTTATGAGTTTTAATTTCTTACTTCTGTGGTTGTCATAGTTCTTCATTTTTTGTGTTTCAACTCTGGTTGCAGCAACTGTTTAAATGTTGTTTAGTATGTTAAATACAATTTTATTATTAGCATAAATGTAGACATGTGCTTATTGTATGGGAAATACAGCCTTTGTGTTTCCATGATTGCTCTTTATAAATTAATTAAAAAGTTTAGAAAGTTTGATTGAGCTGCTACCTGATGTATTGAGTTACTAAAAGTTTGTTTGAAGTTATGCATAGTTTTTATCATGTAGTTATGGTGTAAGTTTTATAAAAAATAAAAATGAATGAGTAAAAGTACTGTGTAATTAACACTCATAGTTATAGAACATTAATGTAACTTGATATAAATATAGTGTGGTTTTTTAATTGTCTAGATATACTTGTATTTGATACAAATGAAGTAATATTAATTAGTGATATTTTTGGTATGTATATTATTATTTCTATTGCAGGAATCCAAACACCAATCATAAACCTTTAGATGAAGATATTCAAGAAGTTCCTCGAAAACTGCAAGAGTTCATAGAGATGAAAACACTAGCAAAGAAAAATAAATTGGGAAATAATAAGAAAAAATTTAAGAAACATAATCTTATTACAGGTGATAAAATTTAATTCATTTTCATTTAGTACACTTATTGGTTACTGTTTTTCTTGGATAAAAACAAACATGATGATATAAATAAACATAACATTAACTTTTTGCAATGGGTCGGTTAAAGTGCACGTCATAACCTTTTACAAAGGTATATTCAAAATTTAATTAAACCACTTTATTATCAATGTATAAATTTGGCATCAAAACATGGTTAATAAACCACGTTTTAATATTATGTAAGTTTTAATTACAAAGCTTGATAAATTACAGTAGATTTTTTGGGGGATTGGTATAGTAATTTATAATTTTTTTTGTATTCCAAAATGCTTATATAAAGTCTACAAAAATAATTTTTCCATCTCCACACGTGAATTTGTACGAGGCTTGGCAAGTATGGCTCATGATTGCAAACAAGGACTTCATAGCATCAAAAGTAGTAGAGATCATTGTTTTCCAATTATTTTTTATTTACTGTTTTATGTTTGAAGAAAAATAACTGACATTTATGTATTTATGTGAAAACATTAGTTAAATATATATGTATACACATGTAATATATAGTAGCCAATATGTTACTGTATTTTACAAAGTAAAAACTTGTGTTATGTTTCTATTCGTTTATATTGAGGTAGAAAAGAAAAAACAAATTATACAAAACTAAAGCATTGGCAATTCAGGAAAAGTTTATTTATGTAATTTGTGAAAATCTAATAAATATATTTATCACTGATCAACTGATCTTAACACATGAAAAGGAACATCTTTATATAAACACCCAGTTGAACTTGCAGTTTGCTGGTGAATAATATATTTCTCAAGTTACAATCAAGAAGGCTATGCCAAGAATACTAGCTCAACCAAAACAAGCTGTATTTATATTACTGGAAACTACCCATTTATTTGTTACTGTGTAAGCAAGGTAATATAGGAAACGGGTTGTCCGTAAGCAGTTACATACATTTACACCTATATCAAAGCTAAATTCTGACCACCAAGTAAGATAACTAGCAAGTTTATTGGATAGGATACAACTTTATACCTTGTACAGAGCCGTATATAATAAATATTTTCTCTCACTTTTATAAAGTTTTTCAGACAATTCTTGTTGCAACCACTGTACCGTAAAGAAGCCGGCAAATTCTATCCCACTGTGTTCTCAGAGTAGTGATCCAAATAGTTTATGTAGGATACTTTGACTTATTGAATTGGCCCAGACTTTCTACAAAGTCATAAACATTTTATAATACTTTAGACAATTGTCACTGTAACCATTATACTGTCAACAAGTTTATATATATCCCATCCCATTGTGTTTTCAAAGCAGGGAAAATTCTGGGAATTGCTCCTCATAAACTTATTTGATATTGATGGTGTCAAAGTACAGTAACACCTGAACAGGAATGGTGCTTCATTGTTTTATATACGGCAGGTTTCTATTTCAGCCATTAACAGTAGAATAACAATAGGAAATAGGTGGAAAAAGATTAGAAGAAACTCTCAGGAGATTTACTTGGAACTTTACTGTCCATACTGAAAAGAACATAGTACTATTCATTTTGTTTCTTCTAATTTCTAATTAATCTACTAGCAATAAAATAACAACAGAAAATAAATGTGAAAAGGCGAGAGCGTAAACTCCGACCATAAATGCTTTGAAATTTAGTAATCACTACTAATAATACTATACATTTTATTTTACAACCATTATTTTCATTATACTCTAATTACTTGCCTACAACCTGGAGAAGTACAGTACAAAAAATAACAAAATATAAAGCTTTATTGAAAATATAAATGTTTGATATTTAATTACAAGTTTTTTAGTTTTCATTGTTTATTATTGTAAAATTAAGTAAAATCATAAAAATAGAAAGTTGTTAGGTAACATAATGAAAGAAAAATAATAAAAATTCTTAATGGGGTATACATGCCAGAAGTTTCTGCATTACACTGTTTGATAGGGTGTCGATGCACGTGCGACGTGTAATTTTCATCTTCTGTCGGGGTATTTTTGGTCAGACACGGTTCAAAGGTCAATAAAACAAAAATTAATAAATATAAATAGATTTATACAATTAAGAGATTTAAGCTATTTAGAATAAATATTTGTGGTTTCCTATTACAATTTGCAATTATCTCTTTCAACCTGGACTCAGTCCCTGGGACTAACCTCGTAACCACTTTGTGCTTGTTATAGTTTTCATGCTATAACTTTTAAATTAGTAAGCGAATGTTAACGAAATATGGCAGTTTATCAGTAAACATTACAATGCTTTCATATGCAAAATATCTAATTTGTTATTAAGTCTTAAGGTTTGTAAAGCAATGTTTTTCTCATGCCTTTCTTTTCTTTTCACATTTTGTCTATCTATCATGCAAAGTAATTTTTATCTTAACATTGAAAATACTTATGCATTAGAAACATTCGAAAATTTCACATGCGAAATCTCTATAATGTCTGGATAGTTATCAAACATTTCTTAAGAAAAGGCTATATTTTATCTGTTATTTTCAGTAATTAATCTCTGTACGGGTGCAATAAATTTGACCGATCTCGCAACCACCATAAAAATTAGGAAATAAACATAAATTATGCATCTTTCATTCTAGAATGAACACAAATTATAACACAAACATAAATGTTTAGACAAAATAGCTTAAATATATATATATATATTAATATATATATATTATTTTTATTATATTGACCTTTCACCTGTGCCTGGTTAATAATACAGAAGTTAGAGTGATGCAGCTCACATGCACTGATTTTACTGTATCAAATAACATAAAGGTGACCTTTGGTCTGTGCAAAGTAGCTTGTCTTTGCTGTGTTTTAGTCGACTAATATTTTGTAAAATACAGTCACATTTCATTTA